GTTTCTGTCATAAAATGAGAAAATTCCCAGAGCGCTGTGGCCATGCATGGTACATCATAGTGCAACAGAATTAACAAAAATAAGAAATAACAATATTCACTAAAATTAAATCTCAATTTGTTGTCACGAAATGAACCTATTTTATAATAGGATTACTTCTAATAAATAGTATATTAAAAATACTGTATCTGTACTGTAAATAACTGGTAAATAAAAAAATATTCTGGTACACAGTTTTGAAGAAGAAATTAAAATGTATATAGTCCGGAGTTGATGACGATAGGTACCACTAAACCACCTTTAGTGACAGGAAATTGACAAAGAATCATTGGTTTCAGTTGATGGGGAAGATTTTCTCTACAGTGGCGGCGTCATAAGGAGGGGCAAAGGGGGCAGTCTCCCTTCGAAAAAATGTTGGGGGACGACGCCATTTCAAAATCGAGCTGAAACCCTCTGTGACAGCAACATTTGCCCCTAAAAGTGCAGGGAATAGCGTTTCAGAAGGTCTAGATTAAAAAAAATTTCGGGGGGGGGGCATGCCCCCGGACCCCCGAGTGAGGTTGTAATTTGTAATTTATTCATTCAGAACAGTACATCCATATATGGTTGTTCATGCACAGCATATAGATATAAAATTTAACATAGAATTAAACAATCCACTGCAAAAATGACGAGAACACAATAAAGAAAAGCATAAATAGGGTATAAAATAAAATGACTACAAAAATAATATGATAAAGTTACAATAAAAAAATGACAATAACATAGCAGTCTGAACAAAACGATAAAATGCATAAATGTAGTAAGTAGTAAGATAAAATTATACAATATTATTAGCAGCTGTAGCTGCGCGATATTTAAAAGAGCGAGTGTGAGATTTTGAAATATGAAATCGATTTCTGGTGTTGTAGGAATGGATGGCAGAGTGTGAAATGAGAAGGTCAGATAAATATGGTGGGACTAAATATTGCTTGCATTTGTAAACTAGTTTATTAAAGTGTTTAGTTTGTCTGTCTTAAATGGTTGGCCAACCAAGAGCTGATCTTGCAATGGAGACAGGTTCATGTCTTTTCAAGCCACATTGGATGCGTACAGCAAGGTTGCTGATACGTTGCAGACTACTTTTTAGTGTAATGCTACAGTTAGAATACACGGGTTAGTGAGTAGATCTCGCCCCCGTGCAAAATTTCGTGTCGCTACCTCTGCTCTATTAGGAAAGATACATAAGAGTGTGTCACCAAATAGTGTCCTTTTTTAAGTTATTGAATTACGACTTTTTTTTCAAATTCAGTGTCAGTATGTGCAGCTAGGAACATCTATTGAAAACCCCTCAAAATCGATGCTTAAATCTAAATAATGTGAGGAAATGTTCGAAACCATACAAATAGAGCCTGCAAA